CCCGCTTGACGGAGAACAAAGGCAGCATTGTGTGGGCATTTTACAGTTTATACTGGAGGTAAGTGTTTACAGCTACATCAGGACAATGATTTGAATGAGTATGTAACCATTTCCAGTTCAGTTCCCATTAAAATAAAGACTGTTTCGGATAGAAGGATAGAACAGTGGATTTAAACACCCCTCAGTGATAGCAGATGGGGGTTTTAAACCATACCCTGAGCTGACTTCAGACAGCAGCGAGAAAATATCACAGAAGTATGGAACAAGCTGCTAAAGCAGCCGACAGAGTGAAAGGAAGGACACTGAAACTCCGGAAAGTGGGAAAGCCGAAGGCAGACTGAGATCATCGCTGTAGTCAAAAGTGTCAAGCAAAGATACAGCTGAGCCCACTTGCAAGATTTTCCACTCCATTTTCCTAGTCACACACATGCAATCTGACAAAGTGTGAAAGGCAGTGTCTGTTTACAAGTTTATTTTTCCAGTGGTTTCCATTTTTTTCCCTTTAAATTTTCTGCAGAAATCAACTGTATCGGGGCTACTGCCAATGTGAGGTGAAGTGCTTCTGAGGAGAAGTTTAATATGTTTACAGAGAAGAAAGGGGAGCACTCACACCATTAAGATGACTGTCACTAAGCTCTGCGGGTATTTAGGAGATGGAAAAACTTCAAATTAGGAGTAAGCTGGACAGAGACATGAAAGATAAGGGGATGCTAAAACCTTTAGGCTAGGAGCAGAGCTTAATATTCACAAAATCCCTACAGCTTTAAGCATCAGTATCAAGAAAAAATGGGGACAATATGTCAAAAACTGGCTGGTTGGAGCAATTAGATCCTAGAGCTGAATAGCTTTATGAAAGGGAAAATAGGAGACAGTGCGTATTTGATACCAGGGGACTAGGCTCAGTGGCTCAGGAGATCTCTTTCAGTCCTGTCTATGTCTCCAGTCCTGTCTACAGTCTGTCTTCCTAGAATACAGTATGTGAGACAATGTGTTTTTCTTCTGAGTCTGAAAATCTAGCCTTTAGGAGGCCAATAAAAGGGGACAGGCACATCAGAGGTGGAGTTTATGGCCCAAAAACAGAAGTCCTCTGAAATCAAGGGGGTCTAACTACCACCCACACTGAGACTTGAGCTGGATAGTGAGTTACAGATACTCAAAAATAATAAAGCAAACAGTGAAGTTTTACATAAAAGCAGAATAAACACCGAATCTTTCACAAAAAGCACTAGGCAAAAACAGGCAGGCCCCTCTCACCTGGGCCAGGATCAACTATTTAAAGGGCAGGAATATGAGGGCCATGCACTAGCAAGCCCGAAGAACGGGCTGCTCCAAGGATCAGTGTGATGCGAGTTAATATAATTATTAGCTAGCTTGAAAGGCAGAAGGCATTGGAAGGCGCAACCAGGCACAAAACGTCAGAAGAAATTCAGTGTTGGCAAAGACTAATGCTAACTGAAGAAACATTTCAGTCTACTGATGAACGTTGCACATATTCTGTTAGGAAAGAGCCTAAATAGTAGACGATAACTGAAAATCTGAAATATGGAACCAAACAGAGAGCATTATGTACTCTCTGGTAGTACTCCAGCTATGTTGTACTTGTATCAGTATAAAGAATGACCCAAAAGATTTAAAATTTAATGGGGAAAGAGAATGTGAAGGTGGGGAATAAGGTCAAACATACATGTCTTGCAATAGCTGGTGAGCCCTGCTACCTCCATTGGTGATTTTTGGATATCTCTGATGCATTTGTAAATAAAAATATTGCCTTCAATAAATAAATACCACATTAGGGATAGTGGCTGGAGTGAAAGGGAAGAGCCGATTTAAAAAAGCTCAAGAACATTATTTTGCATACAAAGGGGCAGCATGGAAGAAAGAAAGAAAATTAAACTGCTATCTTATAAACTCATCCTCCCTCAGAATCTGCTGTTTGATTAGCTTAACTAGAGGGAAAAAAAAGGATCTTGAGAAGGGCAACAGGAATTATTAATGGCATGGTGACTGACAAGATTATTCAGTTTAAAAGAAAAGGAAGAAGTTTCATAGCAAATATAAAAAACCTCCAAAACTGGTGATGGGTCAGGTGTCTAGCATTTCTATCTTTTACTGTTACACAAGTAATGAAAAACAAAAGATTTTAAGCTATTTATTAATGAAAGAATGTAGTCAGTGGGATGCTTTGCCATAGGAACCACAGAAGAGCTAAGTTGGAGCATCCATGAAATAGGATTTATTACAAAAAACAACAAAATTAATTCTTCAGAGTGCCACTAGCCTCAAATTGTGAGGAAAAAAGGTACCCTACAGGCAGTCTGTTTTATTAGGCTCCATGAGAGCTATTGCAATATAATCAGGATTAGGGCCACTTTTGAGAATTTCTGAAATGCTTTGAAACTTCTGGAACTGCTTCCTATTTTGACTAGATGAACTAGACTGTATTTCAGGTAAATCAGTTCTTTTGTTCCCAGCCTAAGACTCCTGTAAGACTATTTCAGCAACCCTTTGCCCAAACTACATGCAAAGTAAAAATCAAATAAGAGACTAGATTGAAGGCTCAGGAATGACAAGGCTAAGAATTATTAAATATCCCAGGAAAGCTCTGTTTCAGAAGCACCTAACAGCACTTTCCCAGGGGGATCAGTGGCCCTAGGGCATAGTATGACGTATATTAGCCTCAAAGTGAAATTGTACATTAGTTCACGCTTGTAATGGTAAAAGAAAGACGAATATTAAAAATAATCACAACAGCTTCGCTTTTAGGGGGGAAGAAAGTTCACTTCCTCAGATCCAAGAGTGCCAACTATGATGAAAATCTTTTGCACTCAGGGTAACAAACATTGTCTGCTTTGCTTGACTGATGAAGATTAGCTGACTTCTTACATTAAAGAAGTTTGTCTTGTATGGGCTGAAGTGACAAGACAATAACTAAGTGCTAATTGTGCATAACCAACACTAAAGATATGCAGCCCCATTATGGCATGTAATAAATGAAGCGAACAACAGAAATATATTAGGCACTTTAATAATGATACTAGAATCGTGGCTTGAAAAAAACAGGGATGTGAAGGGTTTAAGAAACGAAACCTAGGAGGGTGCGTGTGTCTTACTTAAGTGGGTACTACCGGAGGCTCTGCCTGCCTTACTCAGAATACAGCCTCTTAGTTCTGTGGCAAGACAAAATTGATATAGGACTTTAAATAGCATTAGAACCTATAATTACCTTGCATTATTATATAGTTTAAGCAGTGGTTATTACTTGCCTGGTATTTTAATTTCCCATGCAACATGATGAAAAAGGTCAATTTGGCTTTTTTTAAAGAGCGTAATTGTAGTGTGCTACACTTATTAGCAGCTGTACATTTTATGGTTCTTTAGGGAGGTTTGATTTTTAAATTACTACAGTGTTACAAAATAATACACTGTAGGACAAGGTGAGTTAGCAAAGCTTATTTAGAGCTGTATCTAACTTTGGCGTGTTAGACTATTATCTTCCTAATTTTTTGTTACTTCCCTAGAAATGTACTTCTCATGTTTCTTCCCACCTGAAAATGAAAAAAAATATGAATGCTATAAAACTCTAAATAAGATCATGTAATAACTGAAAAAAACATAATAAGTACATTAAGGAGCGGACATAATTGGTTCTCTCATTTCCTAGACCTCATAGAAGTCACTAGCAAAGCTGCTAGCAGCTCTTGTGGAGTTAGAAATAGAGCTCTCAGTGAAATCTCTTGACAGGATTTGGCCACCACTCTGAATGTAGTTGCTATAAGTTCGTCTGTATTTGCCTCTGAAAAATTCAGTTGTTACAATTTTACCACTTTTGACATTCATTCTGCAACTGTACCATATGGGTGATGCTTCAGAACAAAGTGTCAGGTTTGAATCCTTGGGATTTTTACAGCCTACAGTTAGGATATGGAAATAAAAATATGGCATAAGAAGTGCAATGCTGCTACAGAGAAAATGGTGGGAACAACATCTTTTAAATTTAAATGATTACAGTTCTGGCAACAGGAAGAAACAACATGTACTTTAAAAGAAACACATGATAAAAATGAAGAATTAAAGTGAAAATTAATGTAATAATGACAAATGGTACTGCTATGTTCTTCTGCAGAAAAGGATCTCAAAGTCCTTTATAAATATTAACTAACTAAACTTGACAGACAACCTTTTGAAGGTGAGGAAGTAACATTATTCTTGTTTATTGATGCGGGATTTGAGGCACAAAAAGTTTTCTGGCCAAGGTCATGAAAGATGTTCTGTATCAGTCCCAGGAAAAGTATCCAGGTCTTACTCTCGATCTTGGGTTTCCACTAGTGGTAGATGTTTCCTCTTCACTTGAATGTATGCCCACACCGGTGCCGAATTAGCACTTAGCTTATGGAACAGACCCAAGAAATTCTCTTACCTCTGATTACAAAGTTGACATGCAAAACAGTCCAGGTGATAAACATTGTCCTTTGCTCTCATCACCATCTCAAAAGCAGGTATGAGCTTACTGCAGGCAGCACAGTTTCCTGTAACGCCAAATAACCTGGAGATACAGAAAGAAATATATTCCTGAAGATGCTTAACTGAAAAGAAAACCACACTTTCTTTTTTTTTTTAATCTTCCCCCACCCCCAGCAGTTGCCTGGCCTTTGATTGACTTCCCAGCACACCTCTTTTTGGAAAGGCTGGTCTTTGGTGGTACAAGTCTGCCCAATTTACAATACAAAGGCATAGTCCTTTTTGCCGGAGAGAGCTTTATGAAGCAGTGACAGACTAATATTGCACCTATTGTGATGTTATTTTTTTCTGCAGGTTATAGTGACCTTTCTTGATAAAAGAAACATCTTGTAAAACTAAACAGAGAAATAGTAAACACATTAGGGATGTTACATAACTGTGCAGACAGAGGTCAAGCTGTTTGCATACGCGGGAAGAGTCTTCTGCTTGGATCCTGCCGTACAGATGAGAGCCACATAACCTTGGCTTTTGGCACTATTTAT